GGCCGAATTCCTCAAGCATGTGACGGAAATGTTACGTCCCTTACCATACTGTGATGCCTGCGGCAACCACATGTGACGACCCCGGGCTGGACTCCGCTTCGTCCACGGTGAAAGCCGATCCGGCGATCGACAGCGCGAAGTTGATGTATTTCCTCAGCTACCAGAACGGATCAGCTCCAGGCATGACGAAGCGATATCGTCTTCTTTTGGAAGGCCAAACAAAGTAGTTTCGCTTTCACAACGAAACACACAGCGCCTTCACGACATGGCGGCGGCGGCAGCAACAATACTACAGCGAGAATAAAAGTTACGCCTTCTTTCTTTGCGTGAACATTTGGGCCGCGTTATGCAAATCTTCCCACATAGTGAGGTAGATATGTGGGGGCGTGTTAGAACGAGCCGTTTTAGGTAGGTGTGGCTGACTCTTAACTTTTATAAAGAATATCTCTTTGGATTTTAGACTTTAGTCTTTGCAACTTTACAGATCTTCTTTATGCACCAAGAGCTTGTAGCACTCCAGAGAGAAAGGAAATATTGAAATTGCATCATATGACCCCTTTAATACTATAGAAAAGCACTAAAGGTTTTTCAGTTAGTGTTTTCAGCTTGTTTATTTTCATATAAAAATACAGCATGCAGTTGCATCAAACAATGGTATAAACATCATTCAATGTAAATTGTGGTCATCGTAATTAATAATCGCAATTCCAATTTCAAGGGAATAATCGACAATTATGATTTTTGTCATAATCGTGCAGCCTTAAGCAGCGGGACAGAACGGTTGACTTGTAATTCAATAACTTTGCTAAAATGTCATTTTGCGTATCCTCAGCATTCATGTAAATGCATCTTTATGTGAAAACATTGAAGGGTCTGTCTGTGTCTTTCACTACAGTGGTCGAATCTCATCCAGATAATGCGTTAGAGGACCTGAGACTAGATCAGCCATTCACAGAGCTCAAACACCACGTAGAGTCCTATGACCTGGACAACATGGAGAAGAAGGTCAGACAAATGTTGATTACTGATGTTCATTTGACTGACTTGCATGTATTTTTGTTCATGTTTAAATCAATTGCAGTGTAAAAAATGTCTGTATTTTGTTTAATTGTAGGATCACAGTCATACGCCATGGATCATTGTGGTTGCCAAATACTTGGAAAAGTGGTATAGTGAGGTAATTTTTGACATGTTCTTATGAGCTCTGAATGACCTCCTAATGGACTTTCTCAAAGTGGATGTTTTCTGATCCAGCACAACTCTCAGTTACCGAAGAACTATAAGGAGAAGGAAGCATTCAGACAGCTCATCAGAGAAGGTAATGTAATCCATCATATCCCAAGTTTGCCATATTATTCTTTTCAGTCATTTTTTTGTGCAGCTCATTTCTCGTTGTGGGTTTTCCTTAATTTTTGCGTTTTCTCAGGAATCCTTACGAATGAGAACGGAACACCTGAAGATGAAGAGAACTTTGAGGAGGCAATCAAGAATGTGAACACGGCTCTGAACCCCACCAAGGTAGAGCTCCTCACATTTGAAGAGTTGTAAGTTATAGTTTTTGTTCCTTGCATATGATTTGGATTTATCTTTGTCCCATTGTGATGTAGGTCCCCAGTGCAACGGAGGACATTTTTAATGCTGAGCAGTGTGAAAACATTACCTCCCAGGTTAGTAGGAATATGCAAAACTACTTCTAAGCCGCCTTTCCTCGTCTCTTACATACACACAAGATTGCATTGCATTTAACTCCTAGTGGCGTTCGGAACTTTTTGAATTGGTCATGAGCCAGTTGTTACCCTCCACTTGTTCACTATGTTAAAATGAATGAATAGTAAATGTATAAATATATCTGCATGTAACAATTAACTGCCTATATCTGTGAAAGAAAAACTTAGTAGGTTATCTAGAACTAATCAATTAAAAAAACTTATATAATACTAACTTAATAATACTAAAAGTATTTCAGGCATAATTAGAACACATCACATCTGGTTGTGTGGTTGCATACGGATTAGCTGCAAAAGCATTCAGAGTGTAAATCGCATCTGAAAGAAATATACCCAGAACTCCTGTACTACTCTCTGTTGGGGAAATGTATGGCTTCCAGTGTGCCAGAGATGAAAAGTGGCTTTAAAAAAAGACAGGGTAGCAGAGTGGGGTAATTTGAGACACCTTTTACATGGTTTTATACAATGGCAATTAACCAACTTGTGGATAAATTTGCTTTAAGAAACAATTACCTGCCATAGAGAATGTTTGATCACTTTTATAAATCTATATTATGTATGACTTTTAATAATATGAGTTTACACATCACCAGTAGCTTTCATTTGTCTCATCATAGAGCCCATCCTTCTGGGTGATAGCACACGGAGTGCGGGACTTTGTTCGAAATGAGGGGAACGGAAAGCTACCTGTGCGAGGAACCATCCCAGACATGATTGCAGATTCAGACAAATTCATCAAGTTACAAAACGTGTAGGGATTCAGCTTTCAAATCACAAAGAGTCAGGAAACATATTATTAGTAGCAGTGTGTTTGCCTGGTATTATACATTGACATGTGCATTACATACTCGGACATGTAAAGTGACTGTCAATCTAGCGGTTTGCTTGGAATGATTCCTGCTGACTGCGTTTTTGGTAAAATGGTGTTTGTTTGACACTTTCAATTTCAGCTACAGAGACAAAGCCATGAAGGACGCAGCAGTTGTGTCCAAACATGTTGAAGCGCTTTTACAATCAGTTGGAAAGGTATTTACATAATCAACATAGTCCTCTGTAATAACTTTTATTAACACATTAACACTAATGATCTGTTTATTCCAAAGCCTCCAGAGAGCACCTCTGAACAGGAAATCAAACTTTTCTGTAAGTCCAGCATGCACACTCACATTGTCTGCTCTCAGATCAGAATATTTGCTGTTTTTAGGCTTTGTCGGGAAAAAATCCTGTGATTATTCTGCAGCAGTTTTCCTATTCCATCAGTTTATTTGCATTCGTGATGTTCGAGGTTCCAGCAATTACTCAAAATTCTCATCTTTTGGGAATTTTAACAGGTGGCTTTCTCTAAGCTCCTTGAGTAATACCTATATGTGACCCTGGACCACAAAACCAGTCTTAAGTGTCAATATTTCGAAATTGAGATTTATACATCATCTGAAAGCTGAATAAATAAGCTTTCCATTGATGTATGGTTTGTTAGGATAGGACAATATTTGGCCGAGATGTAACTATTTGAAAATCTGGAATCTGAGGGTGCAAAAAAATCTAAATATTGAGAAAATCGCCTTTAAAGTTGTCCAAATGAAGTCCTTAGCAATGCATATTACTAATAACAAATTGAGTTTTGATATATTTACGGTAGGAAATTTGCAAAATATCTTCATGGAACATGATCTTTGCTTAATATCCTAATGATTTTTTGCATAAAAGAAAAATCTATAATCTTGACCCATACAATGTATTTTTGGCTATTGCTACAAATATACCCGTGCTACTTATGACTGGTTTTGTGGTCCAGGGTCACATAGTGTGTGGTGTTTTGTGTCCCACAGGTAAAAACGCAGCTTTCCTCAGAGTGGTGCGCTGCAGGTCTCTGGCAGAGGAATACAGTGTGGACACTTTCAATAAAGATGAAATCAGTATGTCTTCTCTACGGTTCTCTGCCTGTGGTTTATCTCTGCTTACAAATGTTATGGCCATTGTACACGATTGTTTAAATGGATTTACTAACAGTTCATTGTTGTGGACATCCATGCATGGGTGTTGCTGTTTGTGTTTAAGCAGTTGTTTCTGTCTCCATAGCATCCTGTATGGACAGCACAGACAGTGAGATGGTTCTGTACCTCATGCTCCGTTCAGTCGATCGCTTCTATCAGCAACACTCCCGTTACCCAGGTCAGAAGAGTTATCAAACCAGGCAAAAAAAATTAAAAAATCATTGAGAAACCATAGCACGGTGTTTAAAATATCCATTAAGACATCAAAACTTGTATTCTTGACACTTTTTTTATACAAAAAAAATGTCCTCAAGTATTTTTGTATAGCAAACTCAACTTGGATTTGTCACTATTTTTATTTATTATTATTATTGTATTTATCTATTTATTTTTTGGACATTGTACTATGGTAATGCTTATGAAAATATAACAGTATTGATTCTAAATCAGTTTATTTAAAAAAAAACTTTGTTGCAAAATAGTTACTATATGTGTGACCCTGGACCACAAAACCAGTCATAAGGGTCAATTTTTTGAAATTGAGGTTTATACATCATCTGAAAGCTGAATAAATAAGCTTTCCGTTGATTTATGGTTTGTTAAGATAGGACAATATTTGGTTGAAATACAACTATTTGAAAATCTGGAATCTGAGGGTGCAAAAAAATCTAAATTTGAGAAAATTACCTTTAAAGTTGTCCAAATGAAGTTCTTGGCAATGTATATTTAGGAAATTTACTAAATATCTTCATGGAACATGATCTTTACTTAATATCCTAATGATTTTTGGCATAAAAGAAAAATCTATAATTTTGACCCTTACAATGTTTTTTTGGCTATTGCTACAAATATACCCCAGCGACTTAAGACTGGTTTTGTGGTCCAGGGTCACATTTCACAATATTGCTGTTTTTACTGTATCCTTAATTAAATGCAGCCTTGGTGAGCATAAGAGACTTCTTTCAAAAACATTAAAATAGATACCAAACCTTTAAACAATAGTGTATATGAACTCTGTCACTCTAATATTATAGAGTATGACTGTTTTTCTCAGGTGTCTACAATTACCAGGTGGAGGAAGACATTAACAAACTCAAGCTGTGTGTAAACAGTCTTCTACAGGAGTACAGTCTGAACGTCAATGTGAAAGATGACTACATTCATGAGTTGTAAGTTAAAGCTCACCATTAAGCCTATTTGGTTTGAAGCTAAATATTTATACAAAAAGATGGTTTTGTAATATCGATAATAAAGAAGCACAAGTTCTCCAGTCCGTCTGGTCCCTCTGTTTATAATCAGATGGGAACAGTATAAATGTTATTTTCATATCTTCCAGCTGCCGTTATGGAGCTGCCGAGCCACACACGGTCGCAGCTTTTCTGGGAGGTGAGTGTTTATGTACAGTACTTATTCAGGAGCCTGCAAACACACATGCCATCATACATTCCTAGTGCATACTGTGGCATCCTCTATGATATGGATTTTATAGTGTCAAGGCAAATCATTTTACGCATGAAAATATGACCTCTCTCATTGTCTTTACTGCTTGCATTATTATAAGAATTTGCAATAATCGTACAACTTCCGGATAGCACTTAACCACGTTAAAAGCCCACGTTAAAAAGTGCACTTGGTGATCGGACCAGTAGTACCACATTCGGAGGTGGTCAGGGAAGGATTCTGACCACATTCAATGGAGATGTAAATGCTAATGCATTTTCGTTATCCGTATACAGCTACTTAAGTGATGCACTACAAATAATCATTATCTGTCACTCACAGAGTGGGTTGAAAATTTTCTTTCAGGCTCTATTTATTTCCATCTGACATTGATATGATTGATGGATTTCTGTAGCAGGAGCTCACTTAATCTTACCAAGTGCTGTGCTGCGGGTCATTGGCTTTTTCTTTTTATACTACTATCACCAAAAAAAAAACATGACATTGTGGTGATATAATCTGGTCACCTGATTTAATGAACAATAACCTGTGAATTATTACAGGTAGCCACTTTAAAAAAATAAAAATAAAAAAAACCTTCACTTCTATTTCCTATTTAGCAACCTTTACTGTAAGAATCTTAAATAGTGCAAGAAAATAGGGTTAGTAAGAAAATCATGGGTTAAAGTGAGGTCAACCAAAAGTTAGGTTAATTACTGAGAATGTTTGGTCAACACAACCTTAAATTAATTACCTAGGTGATGGTTTCCACTGCTGCCTCGATCCAATTACATAGAAGTCTTACTGCCTATCCAGAAACCATCCAGATGTGAACAACATGGTAATGCCAGTTGTAAAGGGTCCTGATGTCTTTTGTTGCTTTTGTTGCAGGATCAGCAGCTCAAGAAGCCATCAAAATCATCACGCACCAGTTTGTACCTTTCAACAACACGTTCCTCTATAATGCCATGTCACAGACCTCTGCTACTTTTCAGCTTTAGAGCAATCGTCCCTTCCAATCGTGTTTCCTCATTCCTCTATCAAAGTGTTGGCCACAAATTGGCACTCAAGTTTGTTTATACTTACATTGATCAATGGTGTTGCTTTTTGACAAGACCAGAACTGGTGCTGCATACTAAATAAACCATGTATCTCCAAAGCTTTTGTACTGTATGTGATTTTTGTGCTCTTTTCACAACAGTTTGAATGCATATACACTATCTTTACTGTCACTTTTGATCAATTTAATGTATCCTGGCTTAATAAAAGCAAGTATTAATTTATTTTTTTTCATCTTACTTACTCCAAGTGTATCACATTTTCCAAAAAAATATGAAGCAGGATAACTTCAAATTTTAAACATTGTTAATATTAAAGTGCCCCTATTATGTATTTTTGAAAATGACCTTTCATGCAGTGTGTTACACAGCTCTAAGTGAATGAAAACATCCTGCAAAGTTTTAAATCTGAAAATGCACTGTGTATGAAGTTATTGTCTCTCAAAAAAAAAAAGTAGACCGAATCATTGAAATCGTTTTAACAGGAAACATTAGCATATTGCCCGCCCACTTGTTGGTCTTTTCCTGTTGGTCTGAATAAAAAAAATGCAAATTCATTCTTTGCCACTAGGTGCTGCTTTTAGAGCGGTAAAAATAGCTGTTTCCCCGTAAAGCTGTACACAAAGCAGCACTGTGCTCACAAACGCTGCTTTATCAGGCATTACAGGCATGATGAAATGAAACTGAGACCAATCGGACCAATCACCGCGGATTAGCGTCACGCAAAGGAGGGGTTTGGAAAAATGAATCGTTGAGCGAATCTTTTGGGAGTCGTTGAGCAAGTAAGATAAAAAATAAATGCATATTATAAGACAATGAAAGTGTTTTTTGAACTTGCATACATGTCAACCTGTTGTTGGGGACTCCCAAAACCAAAATATGAACCTTTCATAACCCATAATAGGGGCACTTTAAGAAATGTTTCTTGAGCAGTAATGGCTGCTGAAAATTCAGCTTTACCATCACTGAAATAAATTACATTTTAAAATATATTAAAATACAAAACAGGTACTTTTCATTGTAAAAAATATTATATATTATACAATAGTAGATGTATAATATTCAAATATTATACAACATTACTCTTCTTACTGTATTTGTGTTCAAATTAATGTATCCTTGGTGAGCACAAGAGATGTCTTTCAAAAGCATAGCCTTCAAGAGGCTATGATAGGCCACCCTGCCAACATTTTTATCACATTAATTTTATTTGTATCTTTAAAAAAATTGAATTATATTTTAAAAACTTTTCAAAAAAATACTCTGATAAACGATTTAAAAAAAAAAGAAGGAATGTTTCATAAATGTCTAAACCAGCAGTTTAGCTGTCAGACAGTTTTATATTTGTTTTGTCTCGCTATGCGTTCGGCCTACATTAGCTGATATAAACTTGTGACATTTTCACATGGTAACTGGATCTGCTGCTGTTTGTTTGAGTAGATTAGAGAGTTATTTCCTGTTGTAGGGTGGAGTGCTGTGTTTCTGTGGCCGGTCTAAAAGCAGACGGCTCTCTGTGGTTTGCAGAGAATAGCTAGGTTTTCCTCATAGGGAGTCTAGACAGAGGAAGGACAAAATCAGTAGCACATAAATGCATATTTTTACTCATTCCCAAGCCTCCTGGAATCTAAAACTTCCTGAATGACCTACTTTACCCACAAAAATGTTTAGGAAAAAGAAAAGTCAGAACGGTCCTGTCAGTGTGTTTTAAAGCCCAAATCCAGTGGAGGGCACCCTCCTCCTTCTGTTGGAGCACATTCTGACCCATGTTTCTCCTTTTTTGCACATTCCACTGTAGAGTGAATAATTCATAACTAGAGGCTTAAATTGATTTGTCGAGCAGGACAATGTTAATAAGAAACCAGGCCATGTTGTTCAGTTACCACTTCATTGTTTTCACATAAGCAGAAAATGTTTAAACATTCTCCTCCTCCTGACTAATATATAGATGACTGTGTTATAAAACTTTCCCTGTGACCCCTGCATGAAGAGGATAGACTATCTGGGCCGTGTTTATGAAGGATTACGGGGCTCAGCCTGCAGCTTTTCTAACTAAATGGAAATTCCCCCGAGGTGATTTACCCCTTCTGGACCAAAAGTGACACTGAAAGCTTGACTATGACTTACAAATAGCAGATTGAAACCATCTCATGGATGGCTTGTTTGAAAATACTGCTTATCTGTTTAATATCCATGTTGTTCACCATATGTCATGGCATTGAATGTCATGGCAATGTCTGCTCAGTTCAGATTTTCAGTTCTCATACTTGCCAGTATAGTATAACTTATGTACTATTATAGTATGTATTAATATCTTGATTTTGATTATCAGTTTTCATTTTAGTTTCAAGTTTTTTTAATCAAGTTAATTTTTAAGTTTTAGTATTTTGTGTTCCCACTTTACATGTATTTACCATTGTTTGGTGCAATGTAGTTATTGTGTTAATTTTATATTGCAAAATACATGGTCAAAAATGTAATTATAGAACTACATCTGTAATTAATTTCAGTAGTTTCAATGCAGGATTTTTAAAAAAATATATAAGTAGAATAGAAAATATGTATGTACACAATAAGTGCATTGTATCAAATGATTCATTTAAATGTTAGTAAATAGTACGCTTAATATAAATTGGGTTCAATTGTATGTGCTTTTGTCATTTTTATTAGTTTTCGGGCATTGCTTATATTGCTATAGCTACAGCTTTAATTTATTTTAATTTCAGTTGTAGTTTTAGTATTACAACTTTTTTCATTTTCTCAAGTTCTTTCTTTCTTTCTTTCTAATAAAAATATATATATATTTAAGTTTTAGTTTTAGCAAACAGTAACAACACAAAATTGATTTATTCCACCTGTGTGATTTGAGTTCTGCTTGCAGGCTGTAATGAACTTTCAGACGTTTAGTATGGTAGTTTACTGTAGTATGGACTTGCTGTAGTACGGATGAACATTTCTCCTGATGCTTCTCCTGATGTCTTCAGTGTGGAGAGGAGAAGGTCTGGAGTTCAGCATATCATGCAGCTGCAGCAACATGGTCAGAGAACCATGTGGAGCGAACCAAAGGTGGTTTCAGTTAGATTAATGCGTTATTTTTGCAATAGATAGTTAACTTTTTTTTTTCTTCACTATATATTGCTTCATAGGCTGCCAATCACATTTTATGACCATTTTATGTGCAATTATAATATTAACAACACTACAACTACGCTATAATAAGTTATGGTGGCTTTATGGCATGACAGGGTTGGTATGCTGTATGCATTGCTGTGACCTTTTCATCTGCAGCGATTACTTGGTTGACGTAATGTTCTTTCGGAAATCTGCAGTAAAGCTGTAGCCTATCGAACCTGGATATCCATGTCCAGAATCCATTCCCTTTGGCAGAACTGCTGAACAGGGCAGCTCTTCATCATTAATATGGATGACTGAGGCTAGAAGCATCCAGAGGCGACACACAGCCTCTCATAAACACGCCTGCATAGAGATAAAGAGGCAGTGATGGAGCAATACTATCACCACATTCATTCACATACATACTGCATTCTTTCTCTATCTGCCATGTGAGCGGGAAAGTCCAGTACTGACACAAATAGAGGAATATAAAGCTGACAATGTGAGAACAAATTGAATAGTAATCAATTTTAGTGTTTGTTCCAAAATGAAAATCAGAAACCTCAGAATCTGAGACTTCTGATAACGTTCACTGATTGTCTTTCATAATAAATAAGATTATGCTTTTTTTATTTTTTATTTTGCTTACAATTATGTTTATGTACACAATACCTTTCAAAAGTTTGGGATCAGTAAATTTTTTTATTTATTTAAATAAGTCTTTAAACCAAGGCTGTATTTAGTTGATCTAAAAACAGTAATATTGTACTGAATATTAAACATTTGATTGGTAGTATTGTTTTATTGTGTATAATATAGATTTTCACTGTAAACTGAATGGTCATCAGTATTATTTTCAGTAGTTGTTTTTTTAATATTTTGAATGTTTTTATATTCATACAATTTTAATTTTTTATATATATTCATACTATTCCAATTTTCAATTTAGTTAAAGTTTTAGTTATTTTGTGTTTTTTTTCTTTTTTGTCTACATAGTTTATTAATCTTTATTTCAGTTTTAGTTTTAATTAAACAAAATTAAAATGAGACATTTTTCAGTTAACATTTATAATTTATCTTATTTCAAGTAGCAAACATGTTTTTCATGGTTTTAGTTTCCGTTTTAGGTAACTATAATAACCTTGATGTCATTTATACTTTAAAAAATCTTAATTGATTTAATCAACAATATTTTACAGTAAAATAACAATGATTACTGTATATGGTACAATAATATAAGGTTAACCATTTAATAATGCTACTGTATCATTTGTACATTCGGTTACTTTTTTTCAGGGTGTGAGGACATGATCTTATGGAGTATAGGACAGAGCGCTGTGCACAATGCTATGTGGGTTTAACCTATATACAGATATTCAGTAACCTGAATGGTCAACCAAACACTTATATCATATATGCACTGTCTTGGTTCCATTCACACATTATCAGAATCTGAGCGAAGGCCGTTGGGTGGTGCTTTATCTGCACACACAGGAGGAGGCAGTAAACAATAGATGAGCTGGCCATTTTTGTGTACACAGTCCTGTAATGTGAAAATCAATGGGCCAGTCTTAAGCACTTACACAGCACAAGTGCTTCTTTTCTATCCATTTTAAGTGCACGAGCACTCAAAATAAATCAACACATCTGTCCATATACTGTATCTATATTTATATAAATCCAAACTATGACTATAAACACAGACAAAGGGGTATTTTTATTATTATTATTATTATTATTATTATTATTATACATTTTTATGTATCAGCTGCCAGAGTTCATGCCAGGAGTCACGATCATTTGTTTACTACAAACTACACTTTTTAAAAAAATAAAAGATTTGATAATGCATTTTATATACCAGCAAGCAAATGCGATCAGAATAGGAATCCAATAAGCTAAATTGCATAAGAATTTTCACATAAAGAACATAAACATAAGGATTGCCAGCTGCCGCTAGCCAATACTGTATATACGCACACACGCACGGTGCACAAACAAACATTTATTTATTTAATGTAACACTTTAGTTATTAACTAGTTGCTTGCATATTACTATTAGCTGTTTATTAGTACTCATAAAG